AAATTGTCTCATGGACAGTCAGTGGGTTTGGTTTGAGGTTTTGGTTTACACCTGGACACAAATTTTTACTCATTCTAAAAAATAAAAATTTAAAAATCCAATAATAAAAGGAAACCATTGCCATCAAGTTGACTCTGATTCACAGACACAGCCTGGGACAGTGTAGAACTCCCCCATGTGGCCTCCAAGGACTGCCACCTCTTTCTCCTGTGGAGCAGCTGGTGGTTTCAAACTGCCAACCTTTCCATTGACGGCCTATCAATTTAACCTCGGTGCCATCGGTGCGCCTTTCACTCAGCCCTGGGCAGTACAAATGGTTAAACACTCAGCTATTGGTCAGAAGGTTGGCACTTGGAATGCACCCATAGGGGCCTCTGAAAACAAGGTTGGTGATTTCCTTTTGAAAGATCAGGGACTTGAAAATCCTATGGTGCACTGTAAGAATTGTTATAGGATATCTTCCCCTAGCACCGATCCCCATGTAAAGAGATCAGTGTAAACAGATCTCAATCAATTAAGAAATCAAGCAGCATAAAACAACAACTTATGGATTGCATCTCTCAGTTGTTCTATACTCGAATAAACTTCCTTTATCAATAGTATCTTAATGTATTTGCCTTATACCCTAGGGGGATAATTGACCAAGTTTTTCTTTTTTGCTTATTTGCTTTTTTGTTTTTCTGCCCTTGTTTGTTTGTTTCTGTTGTTGTTGTTGTGGGATCTTATTTTTGTCATAATACAACCACCAAAGTAACCAGAGTTGTTCCTAACCCGTGGACAAGCATGGTTTGTCTGGGCTCCCACTTACTCTAGTCCCAAACCAAGAACAGTTAGTTCTCATAACATGGCCCTGCTCAGTACTCACCTTCATGAAGAGATCACTGAAGATAAGGGTGCTCCAGCAAGGGTGGTGAAGAAAGCAGATGGTGCCTGGCTATCAATTGGAATAGGCTTTGGGTCTTAAAGGCTTGTATTCAAACAAACAGCCATCTAAGTGAGGGGGTCAACTAAGTCCACATCAAAAAAGCACACCAGCTTGTGTGATCCAAAGAGGACAATAACAAAATCCAAATATGAGGAAGGGAAAAATATCAGAGCTTAAATTGTGACTATCCAATTTATAGAAGGTTATGGAGGACAGTGGAAGCTCAAAATCCATCTGCAGAGTGACTGGTCAGATGAAACCTCTGGCAGAACCCTTCTGCTCACAGGCAAACAGCTTTAGTCAGACAAAGATTATAGTAAACTTGATTATGGTGGATCGAACCATGGTACAATATGATACTTGTTCAGTTGACCTCTCTCTTGACCCAACCTGAATTT